CTTCAGTAGAGGCTGCCCTGCTCTAATGGTCCTGCACACCCTTCACTTGTGGCTTTTATACAGACAGGGGACTGCTTGTCAGAGCAAATGATAAGAGCTAAGAACACAGCAAGACTCCAAGAAGAAACCCTGCTTTAAGGCTGAGGGGTGTTTCTTGTTATTAGGGGTGAAGATGAGATCTTCCTGCATGTGAGACTGTCCTATGGGGATCAAATTATTTCAGCTTGTCTGGTGATGCCCTTTGCACCTTTATTGTGAGCTTTGCTTCCACTGGGCAGACTCAGCTCACAAGAGGAACCTCAGTCTATTCTGGTGGAGTGAGTTTTGCCTAGTGCTGTAGCCAGGTAGCTGTGTAAAAGCCCTGGCAGGAGGACTCCCTGCTGCTTTGATTAAGGACCACGCTGGGTCTTCAGCTCAGCGTAGGCTAAATTGCCATAAAGAGAGTCTTTAAAGAGACTCAGACCTTATTTTAAGATGGGAAGAGCTGTGAGCATAAGGACGAAATCATACAACACTGCTTTCTCTTTAAACAGCTAAAAATGTTCTGTGGTTGTAGAACAACTGACTCCCATGTGTTTAGGATCTATGTTGTTTTATCTTCAAATTCAACAGGGAAGGAAAAAATTGTGGATCATTTTTGCTTGGTTTCAGAATGCGATGATTTACCTTTGGTCCATCTCAGAGTTTCAAGCTGGCAATAAATAGCAGCAATTCACTCTGGATTGCTTATAGGTGGCCTTTTCATGCACTCTTTTTTTCTGTTTCAATTGAATACCGTTCAGGTTAATTGAGATGCAGTCCCTAACAAGCAAACCTTTGCTGAGGACACCATCATATAGACACAGCTGTAATAGCAGAAAATAATCATACCTCTCTGAGACGAGAACTCACCTTCCAGCTTTCTTAAATACAGAACACAGCTACATTATTAATGTGGTTAGACTGTTGTAAATGCTGTTTATGCTGACAGTGTACCCTGCAAAAATCAGTGAAGATTACAACCTCCTCGTCACAAACACAAATTTGCTGAAATTCAGTCTGATGAAAAGATGAAGAATGCAAGTTTCAGACGCCACATAACTGATGACTGCCAAAGTTACGGACAGTACAGGCACATAGAATTTATTCTATAGGATGTGCTGGGAAACTTTTATATGCACTTGGTGTATCACAACAATAAACCACAAACAGTGGCCACTGGCAGCAGCATGGGGGACTCATAAATTAAAAATGGCTGGCATACCCCTCTACTTAAATCAAGGGGAGTGCTCATGAAATGAATTACTTTTCATGCTGAGCATGACTGGCAGAGCGTGTGATTGGGTCTGTGTGGTGTAGCATGGGGAGCTCTGTACACATTTCATCAGGGTGATTTCTCTTTCGTCATTAAATTTGTCATGCAGAGACTGGCCAAGCAGTGCCTGGCTTAAACTCCAATACAGAGAGAGTAGAGAAGGGTGAATGAATGGAACTAAGACCCCACAATGAGACTGTTGATCTGATTTAAATGCAGTGTTTGTGTCACTGAGGCAGAGACCCCAAGTAACCCACCAAATATCATCCAAAGCCCTCTCCCCATGTGAGATCTGTTACCTGAGACTGCAGGATTACCCCTTTGCTCCTCTAAGGGTGGGGATGTAAGGATGAAGGTGCTCCAAGATATTGGCATCTCAGGGACTGGAGGGAGGATTTGCACCAGTCCCTTGGCCCTTCCTCCCCACTCCTGCACTCACCTTGTGCCTCTCTGGAGACCACACGCTCCTCTCCCAGCCATCTGGGAGCACAGAAATCCACGTTCCCTACCAGGATCCCATTTTTAAGACTTCTCAAAGAAGACAGGCTGCCTCTCCTCATCCAAGCTGTGTGTCTCAGACCTTTCTTCTGTGGCAAAATGCCTGCAAGGCTGGCTGCAGGTCAAGCCTTTCTGCCACTGAGATTTGGAACAAGCTACTGCTACCCTCTTGCTGCAGCATCCCTTCATATGTCTGAAGAGGGATGTCATGTTCCCTCTTCATCATCCTCTTTCTTAGGCTAAGGTTGATGAAAGATAGGGAAAACCAGCCATAGGAAAAAAAAAAAGATTGAGTCATTTATCCTAAGGGAGACAAACTCTCACCTGATACAGGAGGTGGTGCTCTGGCTGAGCTTTGCCAGTGCTGCGCCAGCTGAGAAGATCATGTCCCAGGTCCTACAGGAAAGAACGGGAGCAGAGAGTAAATGGAGAAAGGAAGCAGGATGGAGAGAGTAAGAAGGAAACACTAGGTCTGAGATGGAGAGTGGGTTATATGTCTAGGAGAGGTTTGCTATTCAGGGTGGTGTGGAGGACGTTGTAGGAGCTCATGCTGACCTGTGCCTTGGTGACAGCAGCAGGGGCAGCTGGTGTTCTCATCACAGGCACTGCAGGCAGCACCACTGTGATGCTGTGCCTGCCCCACACCAAACCTGCCACAGAAAAATCAGCTCTGCACCTCAGTTTCTGCATGCACGTGGGGCACTGAAAAATGTGAGGGACAGTGACCGTCTCCAAAGCAGCCCAGTGCAAGCAACAGCAGCTAAATCACACTGCTACAAAAGAAGCCCGAGAAAGAATTACTTCTTTGAAGTATAATTATCTTTGTGACTTTCTCTTGCTTCAGAGAACAGTAATTTGCTCCTTGCTTATTCCTGCAACAATCGAGTGTAGTGCAGCCAGATATTAGTTTTATCTGTGGACCAGCTTTAAAAGTTTTCTTGTCTTTTCCCCTTACTACCCACAGTCACCTTGCTGGCTGGTCCCTCAGCTGTGCTGGACAACTTCTTGCAGACTGTGTTCAGTGTTTTCTGAATTAAAATTGGAAGGGATTTACTGTAAACTGAGCTGTTTTGGTTATCCAGCTTTCAGCACAGCCCACAAACTGCTTGAGCTAGCTCAGCTGAAACAGGAATTGGGGACACAAACAGACAGGCAGAGGAGAGTGGCAAGGAGGGGAGAGCAGCATCTTCAGCTGGATTTGCTTCCAAGGTGGGTATCCTATGACAATAGGGCCTTGGTGAACTCTTTTGTATAGGTTTATGTAAAGTGAGTGCTGTTTATGAGGGAATGATGCGAAAGATGCTGATAAAGAGTCCGTTCACAAATAACTGTGCTGGGTGGAGGCTGAACTTCACTGAGCTTTGGAAACTGCCCTTCTGCTAAAGTATACGAGGCAGTGGGGTGCGGCGCTGCCCTCAGAAGGACCCATGCAAAGATTGCTTCTCTGCTCCAAGCAAACCCAGCTGAGGATCACTAGCTCTCTACTGCCAAGGGTATTCCTGCTCCCAGTGCAATGTGTTTATTGCTTCAAATAAGTTACAGCATATGTTCTACCTACTGCTGCATGCATTTAGTCCATATTAATGTTGGCAGAAGAACTGAATTGATCATATATACAATTTAGTCTTATGTTAGGAAAAGGAAAATGAATTAAGCGTTAGGAATCTGATACTGAGATGCCAAGACAGGAAAGCCTGTCACAGTTTCCTTGACAAGTCTGTCATAAAGTCCATGTATATTCTTTCTATTAGCACTCAATTACAGTGTATTTATGTAGTTCAGACATCTGCTCACAAAGTGTCATGTCAAGGGCATTACAGAGGCTAACCACAGAGCAGAAATGAAAAAAATAAATGAAAAGATAAAAAGAAAAGTAATAGTGAAGCTGAATAATTGGATTTCCAAAGAATATAAGCCAGTATTTTTAGAGTTCAGAACAAAGAGGTATATAATACGCATACTGTCTAATGTAATATGTGTAATGCCTTCTGCATCTCTCATAGGAAAAAAGACTCAGTATACACATTATTCTATGGTACATAAGATCTCTTCATTTTTATTGCAGAAGGATGTGTATTACAGTGAATTTTAATTCTCTTGTTGCTTCATTCTTTCATTGAATTTTAGCACTAAGTCTGCTGAGACATACGGGGCATTGTTCCTAGCCAGGTGCATCACACATTGTGTGAGCAGTAATCTCATCTGGTGTTATGTGTTTTCTCCATAAATCAAGCTAAACCAGCTTAGAAGAATTGCAGATTATGTTTGGAGACTAGTTAGGACCTGCTACTACATGTATAAGGTAACAAAAACCCTTTAAGGACTGTAAGTAAGTGCTGAACTGCCTTAAGACTGCAGTTTTAAACTTGCCTTGGATATATTGAGAGATTTACTTACTTGAAGAGCATGGATGCAACCAATGATGGAATACAACAATGGCCTGTTACTGTCTGTAACCTAAAGATCCACCTTTCCTTTAGCAATCACCAGAAGCAGACACTTAGAAATAGCTGAAGGTGAGTGCAAATACTGAGTGATCCTTCCTTTCATGTGTATTTTGTTTATTCTATAAAGCAGCCTTATAATTTTTCTTGGTGAAATTTAGCACTTGTGATACGATTAGTTATATGATTAATTATGAATGGTCATTCTCATCTTACTGTCTCTGCTGCATCCCCAATACTAAAAAGCCTAATTATGTAACTCTTCAGGTTTCTCTTTTTCAGTCTAAGGTACTATGGGGTATTTGATATCTCCTGAGATCAAAATCACTCCTACTTCTCAGAATAGATGGCATTTCCCCCCCCCCCCCTTTCTTCAGTTCTCTGAGGTTTATACTCTACTGATTTTGATGTAGGTGTAGACACAGTCCCAGATATGGATGTACAACGGTTACATTATGAAGTTTCCTGCTTTATTCTTTATTGTTTTTCAAACAATTGGTAACTTTCTGCTTGCATGTTAACCATCAGAGAACTGTACAAAGTGACTCCAACAGCTCCTTGAGGCAATAGCTAATTTAGAACCCACAATGGTATATGTATGTATTCCCCATGTGCTTTTTCTTATATCTATCAGCACTGAATTTCATCTGCCTTTTATAGCACAGCCAGTACCTTGGGAATTAATGAATTCCTTGCACTTAGCTTGAGTTTCAAATATTATTGTTTATTCCATTCGATCAGTAAACATTTCCATTTTCTTACCTTCCAGGTAAAGAGTACCCACACAATCCATTCTAATCTCTCAGCTGTACTGAGGTGGAAAAATAATATTTGGGGTAACTTTCACCTGAATCTCTCCTGCAAGATGCCTGAGAACGTTTTTGGCTTGAAGCTTCTATCTCAGTATATTGCTCCTGCAACAATGATTGAGAGGTAGGTTCCCAAATAGTTTGGTATTCTCCAGCAGTTCACTTGCTGTGTGTTCATCTTTGATGTACACAAGATAGTAATGTTTCTTTTCTACTTGAATTATATCTTGTCTTATTATTATATCTAATGCTTTCTGCCAGGGTCTTGATCATCATTGATTTAATGGCAGCTGGATTAGAAAGACTATGGAAATAGTCAGTCAGGCTGGAAATCTTTCATAGATTTACAGGTATAACAGGCTCCATGCCATGATTAAAGCCCGCATAAGAAGATCTTGTAAATCACACGTTTATATTTAAAGTGAGCTAGAACTGAACTGAGCTGCTTCTGTAACAATTACTTTTATACTCTTTTCCTTCTTTTAAGAGCTGTTAACTCTTATTTATTCCTCTTTGGTAGCACCTAGAGTTTTAACAGTTAGCCTGAGACACTGACTTAAAAGTGAAGTGGGTAACATAGAATTGTAAAATACCAGTTTGGAAGGGACCTCCAGGATCATCTGGTCCAACCTTTCTAGGCAAAACATGACCTAGACTAGACGGCCCAGCACCCTGTCCAGCCAAATCTTACAAGTGTCCAATGGTGGACAATCCACCACTTCCATGGGATTATTCCAATGGCTGATTGTTCTCACTGTGAAAAATTTTGCTCTTGCGTCCATCTGAAATCTCCCCAGAAGTAACTTGTGCCCATCACCCCTTGTCTTTCCCATGTGACTCCTTGTAAAAAGGGAGCCTCCACCTTCTTTGTAACTACCCTTTAAATACTGGAACATGGTCACAAGGTCTCCCATGAGCCTTCTTTTCTCTAGGCTGAACAGACCCAAGCACAATACCCTGGAAGCTGCAGTACTTTACTAACTCCTCGTGTTCAAAATTGCAGTATTCCTTTCAGGGATAATTTGGGACTGGAAACCTGCAGCTGTTCACTGACCTTTTTTCTAAGCAGGCTGTCAAACAAAAAATTGAAATAATGCTGCTCTGGACAGAAGTCACATTTTAAAATGTGGTGCAAAGAACCTAGTACTTTGGTTAAAGCAATATTATTATTATTATTAATAATAATAATGATAAAACCAGCAATAAAGATATTCATAATCATTATAGACATCTTTGGAAAAATTGCCCAACCTTTATTTGATTCTTTGGAGTCTCCTAAACAGTCCTCAATAAGTCTACTTATTATCTAAGGGGTCTTCAGTAGTCACTAGGCCATGTAGCTAACCTCTGTGGCATGTGGTTGACACTCTCTACCACTCCTCTCCGGCAGCAGTATGGATGGAGGTGTTTGGCTTCAGCACATTTTTGTTTACAGGTACTGCAAAACCAAAATATATCTGTTTCAGTATCTGTGCACATTACTGGGCATTGCTTGGAGGAAGCTGCTCAGCAGCGTCATCTTTGATGTTGCCAGGAGCAAAAGACAGGGAGATTGCCCCTGGTTCCCATGGAAGAACACTGAGTCTGGAAGACAACCTTGGGCCAGATCCCACAGCCTCACAAGAGGCTTCATCTCCTACTCTGAAAGGTAGATGATACCCCACACAGAGATGAAGGATTCTTGCCTCTTTCCCATTGCATTAAGAGTAGAGTTGGGAACGGAACTCCCTCAAGTCTCTGCCCTCCACCAGAAAACCACTGCAGGACATTTTCACCATGCTAGCTGAAAAAGAAACATATAAAAATTTTGTATAAACTGATCTGTCCAGTCAATTCTACTGAGAACAGCAGAGAAATTGTCTGGAGCACCCGTTATGAAACAATTGAAAAAGCTGTAACTGGCATATAAGAAATAATTATAGCACTCTTCATTGCAGTCTAGCCAGCCTCAGTGAATTTTTCCAAGTGAAGGGGAAAGAGGCCAGGGGGAGCATCAGCAGGGAAGAATAAAGAGCTGTTTGGGAGGATAATTAAATCTGAACTGAAAAGGTCATGAGATACTTTATCAGTTTTCACACTGAATCCTAACACACCTAGAATGTTATCAATTCCCGGTCATTGTCCTCAAATTAGGAGTAAGCTGTCTGAAATCAAAACCCTGTGGTGCAGAGGAAGCTAAATTTGAATATCTTCTTTAATTTTTGTTCATCTCCATTAATTTGCCACTTGTTAATAACAAGTGAAGAACAATCAATCTAAATAGAGTTCCAGCTACTGGCTCCCATAAAGCAAGAGAGAAGGAGATTAAATCATCATTATGAACCTACAGGGGGAATGTTATACACAGAGGGTAGGAGATGCAGGAAGGAGAAGTTTATTAGAACTCTGTCAGGAAGTAATTTTTATTTTACAGCTTCTCCATTTGATGAAGCTTTGAATGATCCTAGATCCAATTTCCTCTTTGAAACTGGGCAAATGAATTCCAAGAAATATACCATCATCAACATTACCACCATCATCACCATCAAAATAACGAAGAACCATGTTTAAGCCACCTGTAAGTACTTTAAATTTTGCCCATTCTTTTTTAATGGGAAATCATTAGAGGAACCTGTGCACTGAATAAAAATATTCTGCTTGTGTGTAAAATTTAACTGCATGTCTCCTACTTGCAGGCAGGCAAATGTTTATCAAGCTTTAAGGAATGCATCTTACTGTGACCAGATAAATGCAGGTCTTGTGAAGAGAAACCTAGTTTTTATGTCTCACTGTTTCCAGGCCAGATGATGCTCCTTGACTTTATGGATGGGAGATTGATCTGTTTCTTTGGGCCACTCATATAATAAAGTGCCTTCTCAAACTGGAAACAACCTTTGCTCCACACTTTTCATAGCCAGGGAGGCAATTTTCCACTACAAATAACCAGTGTTTGGTCAGTTTATTGATCAGATACTGTATTTCTTGAAACTCAGAAACAGTGAAATTTACAGCTCTATTCCTAAGAGCTGCCACAAGATCCGTGCATCATTGGTGCTTAACTTAATAAAAAAATCATTTTCATCCTACATATATTTGGTAAAACTTGTCCCTGTCAACTCATCATGCTCTTCCACCCATTAGGTATTCATTTCTCCTGAATGACTTACAGCCTAGTTCTTTGGGTAAAAGGCCAAATCAACAGCTGAAATAAACCAGATTTATTCCACAGAAGCCACCAGAAATACACAACTTTACCTCCGCTGGGGGATAGGGCTCAGTGACGGCCTGGATGACAGATGGATTTTCCACTAGATTGTTTGCTTAAATAATTACATCTCTCTTCATTCCAATATGTATCTTATTACTTGGAGCACAGCAACATCTCACTGCCCCCTAGGATTGTGTTAACATATATCGAATGCTTTGCAGTCCTTATTGTTAAAAAGCACCTTTCTGGGATTTGGTACCAGCAGCAGGGAACAGGCAGAAAAAAAGCATATTAATTTCTGAGTAAGCAGTTTTCAAATTGTATTAGCCAATCTCATCCCTTTCCATCAGGACTCCAATTTGCCTCCAGCTCTGTAAGCACAACTCAGCGCTTAGCATTCCACTCCACAATGTAGCCGTAAATTAGGAAAACTCTGAATATGTTGCTGGTACTTTAAATTCCCTGCAGGCATTCAGTAGAAATCCATGAGCTCTCAAGCCTCCTGGCTTCAAAACATTTTCTTTCTCATTAAAGAGGGACAAAAAATTCTCAGTCAATCCGCCCACTTTTGGTGACAAAGAGCTAGAACTGGAACTGAGTGTAAGCTCATTGCCCTTCCTTGCCTCTTATGCACGGCTCCTGAATGCTCTGGGACAGCTACAGGCATCAACTTGTCTTCCATAAGAACAGAAAGGTTTTTAAATAGGGCTTTCAACAACTTCATTTCTTACCCAAGAATTTGTTTTCTGTGGTGTTGTACATACAATGCTTCTGGTGTCATCCATATGTTAAAAAAAAAGCCTTTAGTTCAAATGCACTAAGTAATGGAATATCCATACCATTACTAGATCATTCTTTGGTAGGCTGACAGATACTGCAGAGACTACAGACAGGATTGATAAAAGGAACTAGAAATGTCAGCTACCTCTGTTTGAGAGTGTGTCCTAAATCAAAAGACAAGAAAAAATATCCATCATCCAGTAGTCTGGACATTCACTAGTGAGTGGGACAAACCTGCTTCACGATATGGGCTTTGCTATGTTATGTAAAGTTGAAAAGCCTAAAAAGAAATAGGTAAAAGGCCCACTGCATAACAATCTCTAAGCAGCTGAAATATTTAGGTATTCACAAAAGAGTAGGATGTGTACTTACAGTTCTTTAGATAAAATAGTGACTTAGTTTTGGGAATCCCACGTTCTCTGAATGCCTATACACTCTGACTTAAAGGAAAGATCCCTTTGCCACCTCTGGTTTAGAAAGAAGGGAGTTAAATGCCTGAAAAGAACAGAAATAGTTCATTTACTCTCTGTAGTAAATTGCATTGATACGTGTAGACAGCACCATGGCCAAAGCTCTCACTTCTGTGATGTCCATTCTTACAGACTTAAATTTTCTCTCCTGAAGGGAATCTACAGCCCAAAGCTACCCTGTACCTCAAAGCTAATCTGTGCTTTCAAATGATACTAATGGCTCTAATAGAAGTTATTTCTCAGTACAGATTTGGATTCCTTTGTGTCTTTAAACCTCCACAACTTTTGCAGCACTGTTTCTCTTGATTTCCATACGTGAGTGCACAACTGGAGAGCTGTAGGCTGCCAGATGTAAAAAAGTTAGGTTTTGGGGGTGCCTTTATATCTACCAGGTTGTATAGGAAAATTAAAGTTGCAAGTCCTGCCACAAACACTAACCCCAAACCTCTTTATGGTCACTAGTTACAACACAAATACAACACAAATGGTAATCCTTTATCCTCACTCCCCCTAAAATGGAGGGGCTACATCAACTAAATATCTGGGACTCTGTTAGCAGTTCAGCATCTCCATGTCAAACATTTGATCGTGTTGCTAAAGAAAGTAATATTTCAATCAAACAGAGGTTTTTCTTGGTGACAGTCCCTATAATGTGATACATTCAGTGTCTAGTCAATTCTGTTGTTGAATTAAAGGAGCTGTGCGGCAACATAAGTATCAGAAAGTCAACTAGTTCCTCACTTCTGCAAAAGGCAGAAGGGTAGATTGCAACAGAGCGTGTGAAATGTCAGTTTGCACCTCTGTCAAAAAAGCTGAATGACTGAAATGTCACAATCTCAGGCAGGAAGAGAGGAAAAGATAAAACTATGAATCTGTGCTCTCAGAGAAAAACATAAACATTTTCAAGGGGACCTTTTCTGTGTGGAAACATAAACCTGTTTTTGTAAGGGAGCTGGATCTCCTTGGCCAGGAAGATCATTCGAAATGTCTGTTTCTGCTGTGCTGGGCCAACACAAGTGATCATCCCCAGGTGAGGGACTTTGAGAGACTGTTGTATTAAAAGTAGAAGAACCTCCACAGAACCAAGAATATTTCCTTTGCACCTAGGATAAATGTGGCACCTGTCATCATACTTCACCTCAGGTACACAGGTAAAGTGAATGACACATAGTTATAACTGAATAAGGAAATACCGCTTAAACCCACAAGCTGGGATAATTGTCTTTAACTCCCAGTCCATTGACTGGTGGTAATGTATTGAATGTGGCTTGCACTGATTAGGAAATTATGTTGATTACACCTATCAGAATATTTGATCATATGCATATTCCTTATTTCCAAGCACTGTAAACTCATAGGGGTTTCTCAGACTCTCCCCAGCGCTCTTCAACTACAGAAACAACAAAGCACAGATTTTCACTTTCTATACCTTTTATTTCCTGGTCTGTAAATGAAAGCTAATACTTTGATAATTACAATTATTAACAGACCTATGTATAGGGGGATCAGCCAACAATACCTATTTGATCTGTATCAGTCATTACCATGCAACCACACCAGCTGTGGAAGTAGACACAACACAGAATCCAGCCTGGCAGAGGCAGGTACAGATATGGCTGGGAATGGCACAGACAAAAAAAATGATATAGCCTTAAATATGCTGAAAAAAATAACCCAACTGCATCCATTTGCACAAATTTGAGCCAACAGCATGAATTCGTGCTGTATGAACATTTAGTTATATTTGGCCACAGTTTCTCATCCAGCAGAGAGGATCTTATGGAGAGACACACTTCATCACTACATCACAGCCTGAGTGATTCTGTGAGGGTAATGGTGCAAAGTGAAAGAGGTTCAATTAAACCTTCACAGCATCACAGAGTTAATACAGTGTCTTAGCTGACGGAAGGAGAGGAAGCAAGAGAAGGGTGTTCATAAATTGCAGAAGGATAACCATTAGGTGACAGCACTTTTAAAAGTAAGCATGGGATTATGCATTTAATCTTTTACCATTTAGGGTTTTTTAATCAATTTTGCCTCTGTTTTCCTAATGTTTGCCAGGTTCTGCAGCTGATGTGTTAAAATATGAAGTGTTTTCCTTATGGTGCTTCTTTTCCTTAAGCAGATGTAACTACCAGAAGTGTGACAGTAAGATGGTTTTCCAGTCTTGGTTTGCTGTCTCCAGAAGCTGAGATGGATCAGGTCATTTATCTTCATTCAATCGCTGAAATTTGTTTCTGGCCATATAGTTACACAGAAAGATTTTAATGGCTGCTATCGAGGGTGCTGACCCAAAGACAACACAGATCTCAGTGGAATTGATGGATTTGCCATGCACATCTTTCAGACTCAAGCAATTAAACTCTTTCCTAAAGTGAAATAGGCAGACAAGAATCTGCTCCCCGACACAGTTGACTGCAGGCAGAGCCTGAGGAGACCTGACCACAGCAACTTCCCTGGCTGCAAGCGCATGGGTAAGGATACTGATTTGCAGGGTGTGTGCACCAGAGAAGGAGAGTTACAGTACCATAAGTTGAATGAGAAACAGGAGAGAGTTTCTTAAGCCAAGAACTCCCTAGAAAGACAGGCCTGAGGGTGTGAGCAAGGAAAGTTCATGCTGTTGTTTATTTCTACAAAGGTTTCTTTCAAACAAGGTCATGCCAAGAATTTACATTATTTCCCAAGTCAATTCATCTTCCTAGTTAAAACAAACCTGCAAAATGTGCATGTTGACTAGTGATTCAGGCTACGTTTTGCTCAGGTACAGCAATTTCCATCTTCTGCTTTATGAGAAAATAGGACTTCCAGTATTCCACTCCTATGTGTCTTAGACCATCTGCAAATTTAAATAGCTGTATGTTTCTGTATAAGGAAATCCATGGCCAGCGAAACATATGTGATTCAATAAAGAGTAGAAAATCATAAGTTGGAGACACGCTGCTGGTGTTTGAAGAGATGATCAGATAAAATGAATGAAAAAGTCTAAATATTTCAAGTGCATTTAAAGCTCAGGCAGAGTTACAGCAATAGCAGACTGCTGCTGGCTGTTCACTGTACCGCTACTACCATGACTGCTGCTACTCAAGTCTTATTCCTACATAAACAGAAATTTGACCTGAGGAAAAAAGGCTACAAATGTACAGCAAATATTTTGAAAGTTGTTTCCTTTGGAATTCAGCTAATTCTGGACAGACAAGACCCTACAAATACACCTGAAAACATTCCTCAGTTTTCTTGTTGGGTGACCCTGGGCAAGTCATTCAAGGACGACTCACAGGTGTCAAACAAGAATGGAAATGTTTGCAGGACTATACCCTGCGTTTCCAGGCAGACAGATAAGCTGACACCTTTAACTTCAAATCACTCAATTTTTAGCAGATAGCTGTTTTTTCTTTAAATGCTGTTCATGTGTGCAGAATTATAAAGACAAACGTTTGCGCAGTGCAAGACAAAAAGAAATAAAGGCATTTAACCCAAATATGCATAAGAAAAGATTCTATTCAAGGCAGAACAAAACACCACTTGCAGATACTTTAGAGGAATTCATCTGTTATTCCCATTTCCTTCCTTTCACAGCAACAGTAGTTTAGTGCATTTTTACTCTCTCAGCAATGACCATCCTCAGCAATGACAATCCTCTCTACTGCCTTCTTAGGAAGGGTTAACTTCTATTTCCTCCACATAAACATCTTTATAAGCCCATCTCCAGCCTTGACAACAGAACTCCTATGCGGAATTTGCCTTACAAGATGAAGATTTTTGTAACAAAAAAGATGTTTTCCACTTTTTTCTCATATCTTTTGAAAGCTGTTGACAGGTATATATGGAACCACCTCATCACTCCTTTCTCTAGGACACTGTTACTATACAGTGTTAGACTTCGCTGCCTGAACTATTTTGCTTTGCACTCACTGTGCTGTTTCTTCTTTCAGGACTTCAGGCTCTTTTAAACAAGTATTTACAAAGTCATGTCATACTTGAAGAGAAGGGCAGTAAATATCTCCTTCACCCTGTGGAAAGCACTAGTGCACACTGCACTGATATAAAAGGATTTATAGATTTAACCATGTCCAATACATTTTGGCTGTTACCGTTCTACTCTCTGTTTCTTGGAGAAGAGGCCACTAATGGCATCCCCAATGCTGGCTAGGAAGTGGATTAAGCCTGGACCTTCTTTTTGTCATTCTGAGCATTATCTTACCCCTTCCCACTATGGCTTGAGTAGGCTGCAAAATCAGGAGTGAAAGTCAGAGGGAATCTTAGTCAGAATTTTCCCGCATCTGTAAATCTGAGGTAACAATCTGCCTGTCCTCATATTGCAGGCTTTTGTAGAAATTAATGATCTAAGTAATTAATTTTTGTGCAATATTCACATACTGACTGCTCTGATGCAGCGATGAATCAATAATTCTGTCCCCAGATCAAGGTCTGACTCACGTTCAGCAAGAGCTGGGGAGGAGGGAAATTCACCTTTTAGCAGTTGTCATACAGTCAGTGGGAATGTGTTGTCTTATGCAGAGGTTCACATTGTACTGATCAGCTGGAATTTGGTCCTGTCAGGCTCCTTGGTTCTGAGTTATTTCTGAGCATCAAAGAATAGTACAAAAAAAAGGTCACCTGCTGAGTGTGTGGGATCATACAAAATATTGACGAGCTGATCATTAACAGAGCACAGCCTGTGGAGCTTAAATTCCATGGAAATAAGTCTAAAACACATTAGTAAAGATCTGATTATTTGTACAAGGGGAATGAATTAAGGTTTCCCAAATAAAATTAAAATCTGGCATTTCTTAATGCTTGGACGCATGCCCTTGCAAGCTTCTGGTGTTTTCATTTGCATTTTTTAATGTTGATTTCTTTTTTTGTGGAACATGTATTTGAAGAGTTTCCATGAAGCAGTTTTGTCTGACACCATCGCCTCACAAAACACAAGTTTCCTGATTAACATCTTCCTTGTAAGCTCATCTATTCCCAAATGTGACATCTGGAAGAGACATTATTTCTAGACTAAGAACCATCAGAGATGCTAGACAGCTGCCCAAGACACAGCACATTAGTGAGGCAATACTAATCATGCCAAAAAAAAGAAAATTAGAGACACGTGCATTTCTACCAGCATTGTTAAACAGATTTTCTGCCCCATACATCGACTATCATAGCAGATGCAGTCAGAAGCTGCTCCTTGGAACTATCACCCTCATTTCATCGTGTTCAAAATGAAATATTTCATTTCTGAAGAGCTGATGTGCTTTGATTCAATGTTTTTCAAATTTAAAAGTGAGATTTTGTTTTAAAATAGTCTTTTTCATTTGGGTAATCTAAAGTTTTAAAAAAAAGCTCAAAAGAGCTTTAGAGATAAAAAATAGGTTAAATACCTTAAAAATGAAAATTTCCTTTGAAATAAATGAGACATTTCAACTTGATGTTAAATATTGTCAAAATTTCCAGGTTTGTTTGGCCTATTTTTTATTTCCATTTTCATTTTGGCCTTAGTTTGCTCAGCTCTCCACAAACTTTTGTTTGAAGGCTACCCCACTTCTGTAAGAGCTAATTCAGGCTCATGCATTTTTTTGCTCTTAGTTCCTATCTTTTCTGTGTGAAACTGAATAGTCTGAGTGTAGCAATGCACTGAACTTCAAGTGTTGTTCATGCTAATAACCTCTCATTTTGCAGCCAGGATGTGGTTATAGCAGTGAACCACAAAGAGTTCTCCAACACACTTCATAGCTCTCCCTTTTCCTCTCACCTTCTGCCTCAATTTGCAAACAAGATCTCCTAAAATACACCAGGAGACAACTGATTCATATATCTGTATCCTAGAGCACCTGGGAAGTGTCTCTGTAGTCCTCATCATAGCCTGAGACTCTTGCTTTGCTCACCCCCGGGGGGAGATTGATGTGGGACTCTGCTGCCATAAGATGTACCCAAAAAGAAGGGATTGTCTGTATTTCTTGACTGGTAGCAACTGCCCAGTTGCCTCTGTGTACTTTTAGTGCTGTGTTACTCATCTGGCTGCTGTGTGTTTGGTGTATGAAATGCTTCATACGCTTCTGAAATAAGGAGCTTCATACAGGGAAAACATTATTCACCGAGGATTTGCACCAACCTTAGTCACTGGCCTAGTGCATTACAGCCTGTGTCACAGAAACGGCTTTGAAGGAAAAGCAAAACACTCATTAGACAAAATAGCAACACAATGTAAAAGCACATCACACACATGCTTCCAACATGCAAATTTAGCTGTGTTTTTCCTGAAACAAAGCACTGCGCTGCATATAAATGAAGAGGCTGACTGAGCCTCACACAGAGGATTCAGATTAGCCCCTTGTTTAACGCAGCAGTGGAAGGCGTTCAGATGTGACTGTGTCAAGGCCAAGATAAGAACCTACAGAAGATAAAACAGATCGTGAATTTTACGCAGTACCTTTTGTGTCCAGCAAACAAAAGAGGAAAGCCTGTTCCAGGCAGCTGGGGAGCTGAGTTTTTCAGCACATAAGTCAAATTTGTAGCAGCAGCAGTGCTGAGAAAGCTAAACATAGATGATTGATACCGATTGCATGTAGAGAAAGGCAATGTAAAACACCAGCAAATAAACTTCATTCATATATCGAACGATCTCATGCTTAAAAGATCCAAAGGAAATCTGCTATCCTTGTGTGCCTGTGACTAGGAAATAGAGATCCCAGGATCTGACACTAAATCCAAAAAAAATCATGAAATCCAGAAAAAAGAAACCCAGATAGACAGGAGACAAACCAATGGAAACAGTAGCCCTATCAATCCCTGTCAAATCAAGAAGGATTTCTCTTCATCTCCTTAAACCCTGTAAGGTTTAATTATGATGCTCTGGGTAACACTACACACCATTTATCTGCTGACTTTTTTTAATCTCCCTTTTCAACTGCTACACCACACTTTATCTTCTGTGGCCACTGGTGGTGAATACAGTATCTGGTATCTACCCACTGGACAGTCCCTTCCATTTCAAACATCTAAGGTGTAATGAGCTGTAGAGAAACCTTCATTCTAATTTCTCCAAAGTTGGAGAAATATGGTTGGGCTGGGAAAAGTAAATTGTCCTCTGAAATGATTCAAGGTGTTTTAGTTAGGTTCTGAACCCTGAAAAATTTATCTTACAGAAGCTTGAATAGAAGAGGAGTCTCTACCCTGCCATCTGCTTAGTAGGCAACAGGCAGTGAAACGGCATTTTGTTTAAAAGAATGTTTCGGTAGTGTATAACTCTTTCTTTGCCATAATATCCCATGACGATATTGTTTGAAACTTGACAGAGAAGTTAGTGGCTCGTCCCCAACACTGGCAAATTGTAGCCACAGCCATATCACTTAGAACATTAATTTCAGATGAGGTGGGAAAAGAAAGATAAAAACTCTATTTCATCATTAAACATTTACAGTCAGGTTCCCTGGAATAAACTGGCTTTTAGTGTTACTTTTGTTTGTTTGGTAAATAATATGCTTCAAAAATTAAGTATATTGTCAACATTTTCTACATTACCTAACTCACATGCCATCCATTACACATTCTGAAACAAATTTAGACAGATCCATTTGATTACTCCTGCTCTAAATTAAACCATCAGCCTATTTTCCATAACAAGCACTGTCTTATACCATAAATTATGATTAGAATTAATTTGCATTGAAGTTTGCCCATACAACAGAGAAAATTCCCTCTTAAGATGTGTCTTTCCTAGTCAATGCTAAATGACTGAAGACACATCAGAGAAGGGCAATTTATATCACAGACATTTTGCATTGACGTGTAACCTTCTTAAATACATCTCAGTTTTACTTTAATGACTTTGACGATTTCACAGTTTCTTTAAATAGGACTTTTTTCCTCTCTCTCTGCTATGCTCCCAAACTGTTTCTGAGTGCTGCCAGAGCTGTCTGGTGACCTCCAGAGCTAGAGAAGTGAGTTTGCCACAAGGTAA